CCTTTCTGGTTTGTGATTGTAAAAGAAACCACTGGGAACCTGTAAAAGTTTATTAAAATACTTTTCATGGTGCAATTAATGCCCAAACCAATCATGATTTGTGACAGTGTGTTTTGAATCAAAATAATTCTGGTGCTGAATGTGACACAGATGTATTTTGTATGCAAAAAAGTCTTTTTTTTTTTTGTCTACAAAGTTATAACTACTCGACACTTCAAATATGAGAATCTAATTAAGGATTAATATGATGTTAAAACCTTTATTCATAGATGGAAATCTGTACAGATTTACATCTGGAAATTTGAAGTACATTTTTATTTGTTTTTTTTTCCCCTGGCTTTATAATGGTAATACGTTAAAGGATTTGAACTTGATAATATACTTAATGTGTGAACAAGCATTCTAAGATTCTTTACATGGATGCAAAGTGATATGGAAATACAATTTTCAAGTCCTGTGTTCACACTGAATTACATAAATAATTAATTAGTCTTGCTTCAGCTGAAGTTTCATTCCTTTTGTAGGGTACCAGCCAATGTTTTTTTTCACTCCAGAAAGATGTCATCAGATACTGTGTTTCCATAGAGAACTATGCAGTTTGCATATAGTGCCTTTTTTAACTAATTAGTATCCAGGAAGTACTTGAGAAAAAAACAAAAGCATTGTGTTTTCAAGTTACTTTTAGGTTGTGGTTAACTTCCTTAAGCACATATTTTGATGGATCAAAGCAGCTTTGCTTCGTGAACAATGTAAGCATAAGTAAAAAAAAAATTAAAAAATGTAAACCTGCAGTTTTAAAAGATCAAATGTGAAATACTCAAAAGTATACTTGTCTCTAAAGATGCCGTACAGTTAGTCTATTGAAAGGAAACATTCACTGTCCTTTGTTGTGAATCATAGAATCATTGGAATTCAGCTCAGTCTCCCGCTCAAAGCAGTGTTGACACTGAGTTCAGGCAAAGTTGCATAGGACAGCCTGCTCCAATATTAAAGCAATTATCTCCATAGATTGATTTCTGTGGTTCTGTTTTCTTTATCTGTCTGATCTTCCTAATCTGTCTTATTTTTCTGCTTTCTCTTCACTTTCCAACTTGTTCTGTGTAATCCGTCCTGATGTTGCACCTTGTTCATAACTCATACTTCCCATTTCCTCACTGGACATCATTAACCTGTGCCTAATTGCCAGCTTCCAGTTCACTCTCACTTCTGTTGGTCCCTGTGTGCTGGTGACTTGCAGTTGCTTCTTGCTGACTGTTCTCCCACTGCCTCTGTGTGTGATAGGTGTTATAACTGAAAGTTAGTGAGAATGAAGATTTCCTGCTCTTGGGCCACTCTCTAGTCTTGTTTGGGTCAGGATCAGTAATTCAGAGAAAATCAGATGTTGTTCCAATCGCCCCAAATATTCTCAGTTCTGCAGAACCTTGGGATATTTCATCTGTTAACCTTTGAGGTCAAAAATGACTACACAGAAACTGAGGCTTTTATCAAATCTCGGAGCTTTCCCATATTTAGGAAGATTCTGTGAAAATGGTAAATGGACACCTGACAAATGATAAATGAACACCTGACACATGACATATTTTCCTTTTTCTAAATCAGGGAACACTGGAACTTTAAAAGAAAAAATAAATTAGTCATCACTATAGTGGTAATTTTTTTTCTTCAGCTCATTCTTGGTCATGGCTAAACTTTTTTTTTTTTAATTCAAAAACAAAAAAAACTCCTTCAGTGTGAGGCAGAGTTGCAGTAAACTTCATCTGTAACAAGTGATTTTAATTAATTTATAAGAAACTCTAAACAGACTTCTGAAGGGAATGTCAGCTAAGCTTAGTGGGATGGGCAGCCAAGGTCTTCCGTGAACAAAGGGATTTCTTCTTTTATTTGTTTGTGATAATGAAAATATTAAAAAAAAAAATTTAGCCTCCTTTCCTCTCTGGTTTGGAATAGTATTCCACTTTTCTCACCTTCTTGCTCAGCTTGATGCAGCAGGGCTTCTCATCCTGAAGGACTGATGAGGAACTCAGTAACTGTATACATTGTTGTATTTCTGTTGTACTGTCTGAAACTGAAAATAACACATATGTGCTCTTCCCTGTGACACTGGGGTTTTTTTCATTCTGGCCCTATTAATCAGTTATACTGTGTTCTTGTATTTCTTGTTCTTGTCTTGGACTTTAGTGGGTTGAAAGATGAAGGTCAGATTTTGAAGGTTGCCAATTATTTCTAGTTTGCCTTCACTTCTTCAAAAGACAGTGTTCCCAGCTTAACTCAGTTGAGAGTTACTCATGTTTTTTGTAACTTTTCTGATATGATCTAATAAACCAAGTATAATTTTCACTCAAGCTTGATACTGACTAAATAGAGGTACCGCTCTAATTTGGTTTCTGTTTCATTCTTTGGGACTTCTTTACTTGCCGTTCCAGTATTTCTTTAGTAATTTTTTTCAGGGTGGGTGGTTCAAAGCTATTGACAGGTTCCTTTCGCTGTGAAAATTTTCAGGGTTCTAGGCACAATGTTACATGATCTGTTTGGTCAGAGGTAAAAAGTAGAACAAAAATAATATTCACAATTTCAGATAGATCTGGATATCTGGTTCAAAATAGAAGTGCAAATCTGACCAATTTCTTTTAGGTGGTGGAAGGTGCATTTCTTTTGATCTTTCTTTTTTGGTTTTTAAAAACAACTGGGTAATTATTTAAGAACAGCACCACAAACACGAATGTTCTCTATCATCCCAGAAATAATGCCCCCGAAACAAGCTAAGAGGGTTGTGGAACTGTGTTTTTCTCATTCAGCATTTTTACATAAATGTATAAGCCTGGATTTACAAAGGGCATATGCAGACTCAGAGAATAATTTATTTTGAAGCCTCCTGGGGAAGTAATTTGCAGTTCAGCCCCTTGCTCACTAACATTAAAGTTGAATTCCCCAACTGATCTAGGCAATCTGTTCTAGTGCTTAACTCTTCTTATTCTGGAATTTTCCCCCTCATCTCCAACTGAAATTTTCCTTGTTTCTACTTCTGACTGTTGCCTCTTGTCCTTTTCGATTGCATCTCTGAGAATGTGGAGTCTGTTGTCAACTTTTATTTAATCCCACTCCTTTCTACACAGTGAAAGACGTTGCCACACAGCATTATACGCCTAAAGTGAAATACCAAGATCTTGGCAAAAGGAATTAATAAATCTGATAAATCTCGATAAGTCTTCATAGATCTTCTATAATTAGAAAAAAATCAACCCCCAAGAACAGGATTTATGATACTGGGTAGAGGGACACTTAGAATCTAGAGAAAACAGAAGGAAGAAAGGGGTTTGTGAAATTCTAGCATTTGTGCAGATGAATGTGGCCATATTTAATCTGGAAAGACTTGCATCTCTGTGTTGAGGCCACAGAAAACACTCTTGAGTGTTAAAGTGTCTGTTTCCTCAAGGTCTTACCATCCCTCTTTAGAATGCAGGTTTGAGACGTCACGGATATGACAGGCTATAATCATAGAATATGGTCTCTCTGGATGGCACACTACTGATCAACCAATTAACAGATTAATTAACTAATAAACGTATGACTATGAATCACAGTTCTACAACTTTTTATGCTATTGGTAATTGCACACAATTATTGAGTTAGTTCTGTCATTTTGTTCTTATAAATTGCATTCAAATATTATTGAATTACAGTTCTGTAAACCTTCCCTTTAACCTCTCGCATCACTTAGTAACAAATTTGTAACTCTGTCACTCTTTAACTTCTCACATCAAGTCTTTCAGGTGTTGACCCAGTGGAGACTCCAGGGGATTGCCCAAAGAGCTGCTTCTGATATCCTGGCAGCCCTGATTAATGAAGCAGGTCTCTTTGTTATAGTCCCTGGGTACCTGTGCTCCGTCTGTTAAAAAAGGTCTGCCCTCTCTTGTTCTTGAATTGCTTTTACAACTTGTTGATTGTTTATTATGTTTCTAGACCCTTCTATATCCTTTTCTCTGCATAGTCGCCTTACAAATAAATGAGCTGCCGCTTAATTGCTCTTTCCCCAATGGTCCAATTTGCTACATCTATTCCCAGATTTTGCGTTTCTAAAACCATTTTCTAGATAATCTTGATCTTAGATGATATTAGTGATGTTGTCATTTAGGTACTGATGGATTTGCAAGATTCTACCCCTGCAAAAGATGTCGAAGACTCCCTTTCTGCTGTCTGCTTAATATCAATTACCTATTCTTTATTTTATACACTTTCTAAGACATGTCAGTCTACTTCAGCCTTTTTTCTTCTATGTAGTTTTGATTAAGTATGTTTTATCTCTATTCCACTTAGCTCTTTCTTGGTTTGTATGCAAGTGGCACAGATACTAGGGCAAGGAACATACCTTTATGCGCTTTTTCTCATTCTGTTTTTTGCTCACATGGTATACTTCTTGCGTGGAGCAGCGAGGGCCAGCTGGTCCCTAAGGGAAGAGGAGCCGGGAGCTGAGCATAACAAGGCTGGCAGAGGCAGTAACCTCACCAGCAAGGGCTTAGTCCCTCCCAAGCAGCACTCTAAGAGTTAGCCTTGAGTCCAGGTTGGCAAACCTCCAGTCCTTTCCAGGAAGGGGGGATGCTCTTAGCTCCCTTCCAGTACTCTCTCTCTCAGATGTTCCATCAAAAATCATCAGCCTTGGCATCTGGTGATCATCTCCTCATTTTCTGCAGAGCCCCTGTCTTGTTATGAGGTCGAGTACTCTGGCAGAACTTCTTGCTGACAGTATCAGTCCACCTTTAGACTAGGACCTAGACTAGGACCAGATACTTTTCTGTTCTTTGAAAAGATGGTTGGAAGAGAAGAAACTGGTGATATTTAACAGCGTGAAACATTAACTCAAATTTAAATGGTGGGTTTCAGTTATATCTTGCATATATATTTGGAACTTTAGTAGTATTAATGATCAATTCTGATAAATATTACTTTTACGAGTTAAACTTCTACAAGACTTTTAAAAATGTTTTTCTTGCTGTTTCTTTTAGTGTCTCCTGAAGCAATTGGATTCCTGTCTGCTGTCGGAGTGTTCGTTATTCTCATGTTGCTACTTTTCCTATATATTAATAAGAAGATGTGCTTTGAAAATGTTAGTGGTTTCCCAGATCTCGATTCAGGATACACTACAAGAAAGAATTCACAAGATAAGCTTTGTAAGTATCTGAAATACAGTGTACTAAGCTTAGTTATAAGAATGTACATTTTTAGAAGGATGTGTAGAAATCCACAAACAGTCACTTGACTCAAGTGATGAAAACGCAGCATTGCCTTTTCCCATGACTATGCAGTATGTGGAAAGGAGGAAACCTTTGTATTCACAAGCCACAGAAATTCAGCAGCTGTATAACCAAAGAGTTGACATTGACTTATGGGAAGATACTTCCCTTGCACTTTGAGAATACTCTTGAACATATTTTAAACATTCCATACTTCTGTTTAATTAATTCTTTTCAAATAAATTTGTGAATGTGATCATTTGGCTTCCACTCAGCCTATTAAAATCCTTCACTGACCTTTTGGACAACGTCTTGCATTTACTTACCTGGAAAATAAAGCAGTAAAACATTAGAAACTAAAGACATTTGATCTCTGAATAACAAATTATTTCTATACGTTTTTACAAGGTCTTTAAGGATCATAGAATGCTTTGGGTTGAAAGGGACCTTTAAAGGTCATCTAGCCCAAACCCGCTGCAGGGAGCAGAGACATCTTCAACTAGATCAGGTTGCTCAGAGCCCCGTCCATCCTGGCCTTGAATGTTTCCAGGGAGGGGGCAGTTACCATCTCTCTGGGCAACCTGTGCCAGTGTTTCACCACCCACACTGTAAAAAAATTTCTTCCTTATATCCAGCCTAAATCCACCCTCTTTTAGGTGAAAACCATTACCCCATGTTGTGTCACAACAGGCCTTGCTAAAATGTTTGTCCTCATCTTTCTTATGAGCCTCCTTGAAGTACTGAAAGGCTGCAGTAAGGTCTCCCTAGAGCCTTCTCTTCTCCAGGCTGAACAACCCCAACTCTCTCAGCCTTTCCTCATAGCAGAGATGCTCCAGCCCTTTTATCATTTTTGTGGCCGCCTCTGGCCCCGCTTCAACAGGTCCATGACTTTCCTGTGCTGAGGGCTCCAGAGCTGGATGCAGGACTCCAGGGGGGGTCTTACCAGAGTGGAGCAGAGGGGCAGAATCACCTCCCTCGCCCTGCTGGCCACACTGCTTTTGATGCTGCCCGGGATACAGTGGACCTTCTGGGCTGTGAGAACACACTGTTGGCTCAAGTCCAGCTTTTCATTCCCCAGTACCCCGAAGTCCTTCTTGACAGGGCTGCTCTCAATTGCTTCATCCGCCTTGCTGTATTGATACTGCGGGTTGCCCCAGCCTGGGCGCAGGACCTTGTACTTGGCGTTTTTGAACCTCTTGAGGTTCACACAGGCCCACTTCTTGAGCTTGTCCAGGTCCCTGTGGATGGCATCCTGTCCCTCAGGTGTGTCGACTGCAGCACTCAGCTTGGTATCATCTGCAAACTTGCTGAGGGTGCACTCAACCCTGCTATGTCATTGATGAATATACTAAACACTACTGGTCCAAATACGGACCCCCAAGGGACATCACTTGTTACCGACATCTATTTAGACATTGAGCTGTTGACCATTACCCTCTGGATGTGACCATCCAACCAATTCCTCATCCACTGAACGGGCCACCCATCAAATCTGTATCTCTCAAATTTAGAGAGGAGGATGTTCTGGCTGACCATGTCAAAGGCCTTACGGAAGTCCAGATAGATGACATCCATAGCTCCTCCCTTGTCCACTGATGCAGTCACTCCATCATAGAAAACCACTAGGTTGGTCAGGCAGGACTTGCCCTTGGGGAAGCCATGCTGGCTGTCTCGAATCACCTCCCTGTCCTCCATGTGCCTTAGTAGAGCTTCTAGGAGGATCTGTTCCATGATCTTCTGAGGCACAGAGGTGAGGCTGACAGGTCGGTAGTTTCCAGAGTCCTCCTTTCTACCCTTTTTAAAAATGGGCACAACGTTTCCCTTCTTCCAGTCACCTGACTGCCATGACCTTTCAGATATCATGGAGAGTGGCTTGGCAACTGTGTCAGCCAGTTCCCTCAGGACTCTGGGATGCATTTCATCAGGTCTCATAGGCTTATGTATGTTCAGGTTCCTCAGGTGGTAATGAGCCTCATCTTCTTTTACAGTGAGAGGGACTTTGTTCCCCCAGTCCCCATCTTGCAGTGCATCCACTCAAGAGGTGTGGGAGGAGAGATTGCCAGTGAAGACTGAGGCAAAAGAGTTGTTCAGTACCTCAGCCTTGTCCTCATTCATTGTTACCACTTTGCCAGTCTTGCTTATCGGGGGGGGGATATGCTTTCTTTAACCTTCCTTTTCTGTGTGACGCACCTGTAGAAGCGCTTCTTATTATCCTTTGCATCCCTTGCCAAATTCAGCTCCAGCCATGCCTTGGCCCTCCTGACCCCATCCCTACACAACCAGGCAGTGTCCCTACACTCTTCCCAGGATACCTGTCCCTGCTGCCACTGCCTATGCACTTCCTTCTTCCTCTTCAGTTTGACCAGCAGATCCTCTTCCCTTCCTTGCCTGATTTCTTACACCTGGGGACTGACAGCTCTTGCACTCTGTGGAAAGCATCCTTAAACATCTGCCAGCTCTGTTCCACTCCCTTGTCCCTGAGAGCAGTTTCCCAGGGGGTCCTACTGACTAACTCCTTGAAGAGCTGGAAATTTCCTTTCCTAAAATTCAGGGTCCTGACTTTACTCTTTGCCTGACCCCATAGTTCAGGACTGTGAACTCCACCAATGCGTGATCACTGCAGCCCAGCCTGCCTCCAATCTTGATGTCGCTGGTTAGCTTGCATGTGCTGGTGACCATCAAGTCCAGTATTGCATCCCCTCTGGTAGGGCTGTCTATTACCAGGCGTAAAGAGTTATCCTCAATGCATTCCAGAAGCCTCCTGGATTGCCTGCTGCTCACTGTGTTACTTTCCCAACAGATGTTGGAGTGGTTGAAGTCCCCCAGCTGGATGAGAGCCTGCGAGCATGAAGCCTCCTGGAGCTGGAGGAAGAAGGCTTCATCAGTAGGCTCGCCTTGACCGGGCGGCCTGTAGTAGACACCAACCACAAAGTTCCCTTTGTTGCCTCTGTCACTGATTCTTACCCATAAGCTTTCGACCTGCTTGTGGCTATTCTTCAGAGAAAGCTCTTCATACTCTATCCATTTGTTGATGTACAGGGCAGCACTTCTGCCCCTCTTTCCCCACCTGCCTCTTCGGAACATACTGTAGCCATCAATAGCTGCTCTCCAGTCGTGGGATTTATCTCACCAAGTTTCAGTAATGGCGACGAGGTCATAGCTTTCTAGCAGCATGGTGGCTTCCAGCTCCTCCTGTTTGATGCTCGTGCTGCATGCTTTGGTGTAGAGGCACTGCAGCTGGGCTGTTGGCCGTGTCAGCTTCTTAGACGAACACCCCTTAATTCCTTTGAGAACTTTTTTCCTTGTTGGCTCCTGTTACCTCAGGAGACACTGGCTCATCTCTGTATGATTTCCGGTGTGCTCCAGCACATCTCAGAGCGACAGGCTGAGGGTCCTCACTAGCACCCTGTCCCTCTAACCTTGGCGTGTCATCCCACAGCTTGTCACAAGCAAGCCTGATATTATCCACCTCCCC